TACTGCGGGTACAATTTAATGAAGATGCCAGTTGGGGACCTGTGAGGCGTCTGTTTCTCAAACTAGAGACTCTAATGTACTTATCTTCTTGCTCAGTTGTGCAATGCGGCCTCCCACTTCTTTTTCTACCCTGGTTTGTTCTTTTAGGGCGGAGTATTTTCGCCCAAGTCCTGAATCGATTAATTTCAATTTCATCTGTTTCTACAATAATGAAAGCGATTCAACTGTGTTTCGAAATACTCATGCATTTTAATTTTTCCTGTCACATTAACACAAAGTGCAAACTTGTAAATCAGACAGTTTAAACTTGAGATATGAACAAACTGTCTTATAAATGCAAACTTCTTTGTAAAAAGTGAAAAAGTGAAGGCTCACTCGTGCAAGCAGATGTAACACATTATATTTGCAGTGTTGTCTGTAACAGCCACCGGGTGTTGCTGGACAGCCCCCATGTCTTCAGTCAACCTATTGGGTATATTTGCAGCTGTCTAGCTTGGAGTAAACTTGAGTGCATCTTTCCTGCTCATTTGAACGTCACGCACATCACTATAAAACTAATTGATCTCATTCTCTAGGCATCGATTAAAAAATCGATTAAATCTATTTTTTTACCCAGCCCTAGTAGATATTGCACCAAAAAATAGACATTTGCAGCTAGAATAGTCATTTACCACATTAGCAATGTATAGAGTATATTTCAATGTGACATGTATACATATATATATATATACATACATACATACATACATACATATATATATACATACACACACACACACACACACACACACACACACACACACACACATATATATATATATAGACACGCTTATACATGTCTAAATCCATACACATACACATGCACACACACACACACAATACCGTGCGTTGTTGGATTCTGTGCTCAACTCCTCCAACTGTACTCTTTTTCTTTTACTTCTGATTGGTCTTGATGTAAGCCCCAGCTCAGTGAACTCGGCTATTGAGCAGCGCACAGCCACTGAGTGGCTAGCTGGACGACATGAGAGTAATAGAACAACACGGTTATAATATGCACATTTAGGATAGAACAAAATATTGTATAATACACATTCGTGTAATTATACCTTTACTATGGGTACTGCTTTTTGTTGGAATGGAGCTCTTTGAGGTCTGAATGAAAACGTCCCTTTGAGTCGGGCTGTACTGGCAGGCGACATCTCTCGTCTAAAGATGACAATGGAGAGAAATTGGAAATAAATAAATCACATTGTTTACAAGAAGCATAAAACGATATGATGTGACGTTACTGAGCTGATGTACAACATAAATCATAATGCATAATTATCAACAAGTGGTCACTGAGATGTGAACGTAGAGGTGGATAACCCTGCTGGTAGCCCAGTTGAAAATTTTAAAGGATCTGTGACTGTTTTGTGCTGGGCTCTATCAGGGGGCAGCCCCGTAACAAGCATTGAGAACACCGAGGTCATGTCCTCTGTATTTTCCCNAATAAATACAAATGCTGGGAACCAATTCTTTTTTACATTTCTTTAATATTTTGTTCTATTCAGCTACACAAGCATCCTCTTTAAACTACTAAGAATTGTGCTATAAATATGACTTTACCCAATTCTTATGTACACCTTAGTAATTTATTGATATGCCACACAATGTCCTCCTTTTTGGTGCTATGGAAATGGCCACCCTAGGCCCGGGCTGCCTGTCACAACTCCACTCCGGGGCGCGGATGAGGTCATACACGCTCCGCTTTGTTTTAAAAAAATATAAATATAAAAAATATAACCGTGGATGTCTGGGGGACAGTGATTCACCTACATGTTATGAATTCTGGCGTACCATAAACAATAAATTACGAACAGTTTAGTTTGTGCCTTCAACTCATTGCCCATAGGAAGACTAGGAAGATGTTACTTGGATATTACAAAACCGAATATCTTCGGAACAGCTCCAAATGACACAAAACTGATATGGGTGAGTAGACCATGGTGTAATAACGTAAAATCAAGGGGCCAATGTAAAAAAAAAAAAAAAAACGTGTTCCCCTTTAAAGATGCTTTTCTTGTCAGTCATGACGAACATGAGAATTCAAGTAAATGTTGGCAGTTTATGGTTGGTTTCAACTGTTGTTTCATTTTGGTGTAAGAACATCAAGAAAAGGGGATAGATATGCAGATCAAACTTTTCTAGATGACCAAATGAAATCTCACCTGTTTCACTTCCAGATCAGCAGGCCTATACACTGATGGCACAGCGTCTGTATTCAGCAGGGCGATGCTAGTAGCTGGATTCACTTGGACAAAACAGCTAGGTGTGAAGTGTTCAGCACAAACTCTGATGTCAACCCATGACGATTCTTGAATTCTCTGACCATTGACCACAAAAAGAAACTGGACCCATTCCAGTCTCGTATCTGGGTCTGCTGGTAGACTGAAACACTGCGCTCCACGATGCCATGAATCACATCCGACGACAGAGCACCTCCTGGATTTAAAGGCGTCATCTGTGTTTTCTCTAAAAGAGGGAGAGAGAGAGAGATAGAAATAGATACAATTTAAAGAGGGGGATAAGGTGGAAACCAAGCACTTGATACACTGCCTGCCTCCAGGTCTTTCCATAAAGCATGCCCAAGACTTTAATTTTTCTCATGCAAATGTGTGGTAATCTAATAGTCTTCTTTCTGTTGACCATGCAGAAGGTGAATGTATGGGAGCTAAATACAGCAGGTAGGAGCAACAATCTGGGGTATTCGGAAGCAGCCAGAGATAAAACAGTAGACCAGCACAAGATTGAGATTGGCTAGAGGTAATTAGCCTTTTAGAAAAGGCAAGAACTGCTGGTGCCTTTATAAGCAAATTTAGATGGATGAAAACGGCCGATCACAACCAGTACAACTAAATACCCGTTGATAGTGGCAGAGTTTAAAAATCCAACAGAGGATTTTAAGAAAATACAGAATGTAACAAACGCTTGAAGCAATGACTAATATGCTTTATATACAGTTTGTGCAAATAAATAATTTACATTACTAACCTGTCACGATCAGGAGAGTCTTTGACATTAGACACCTGGGGTCTGAGAGGTTGAACTGTGTCTTTACATGGTGCAGAGCATACTTGGTATCTACGTTCATAGCTGCACAGGAACAAAGAATAAGAATGATTAATCCAAAGCACATTGAAACAATGCCCAAAACATTTATCAAATCAAAAAAATGGGTGGAGGGGGGTTCATATAAGCTGCAGCCTTGGGCAAACTTATTTTACCGTTATGACATAGTCATAACTCTAGTGCCTAGCCGTATAAAGTCCTACCTACGGAAGCTGTGGAGTTACAAAAATATGGCTAAGTAGACATCCCACACCCGTTCAGTGCGTTCAGTGTCAAATCAGGTGATGAGATATAGAGCCATCCATGATTCTGTTTCTAACATAATAAACTTCACTGTTATACTGAATTATTTTACCTTTCCAGCAGAAACTCTGCAACCTCTGTGTCGGGTTTTGAAGCCCCTCATGAATCGTCTCCATCTAGTAAAAACTATGCCGATGTATACTCTTGTTTTACATAGGTTATTACTTTGTTTTCTTTTCTTGGTTACTTTCTCTCCCCTACCAATAGGCAAAAAGTAGGGATGGTATTCCATCTAAACAGAAAACAAAAAGCAGAATAGTGTATAGTCATCTTTGCTTGTTTGCTACTACTACTACAACACTGAAAACACCTGTCCATTGAAAGGTAAAATGCGAATGTTGCACGAGTGACCCCTGACTGCAGACCGACCGGGGTACTTGTGCTGCTACCCGTTCCGCTACCCCAATCAAAAATGGTGCACGCAAGACGCCTTTTTTTATTGAATCTAAAGAATCAGAGGTTGTATGTTATTTAAAAGATACAGAGACTCAAAAGATTTGTTATTTCAGCAATGACAATTCTATATAAAGCCAGATTAACTTCCCTCAATGATTAGATACTGTCAGAAAACCACCTGTCACTGAAGACTTGGTAACTCTAGACATGTTATAGTGTCTGAGACTTCTTGCCTCAGTATGGGCTGAACCTGTCTCATCTAGTAAAAGTGCTAACTAGCTAATGTCTTCAACTCTTTTTCAGACTTTTTAGATATAAATAATTAACTTTATACATTTCTCCTCTTTCTAATACTCGTTATGCCTGTAGGGATAGTATTTAAATGTGTTTTATGTTTTAGAATGCTTGCTTTACCATGAGTAATATGATATAAAACCATTATAAACAATAACAACCTCCTGTGCATTTCCTAGTTTATGACGTGGAGAGTCTAGAGCAGGACAGGCTGAATGCAAGGCCAAGAAAAGCTATGGGGCAGGAGGATCTGTGTACGAATGTATGTATATATATATATATATATATATATATATATATATATATACATATCAGACATGGGCAATGTGGAGTCAACAAGTCATCTCCATGTCATGTATTTGTTCTACCCAGCCACTGAAGCAGGTGAGTCCAATCTTCACCATGAATTAACCTGTGCAGATTGAACGCACCTGGTTAATTCTAACTGTAAGGTAAA